GAAGAATTCCTTCCCAACATCCCATCTAACCCTGCCCTCTGCCAGCTTGAAGCCATTCCCCCATGTCCTGCCACTCCTTGTCCAAAGTTCCTCTCCATCTTTCCTGCAGGCTCTCTTCAGGCCCTGGAAGGCCACCATCAGGTCACCCCAAAACTTCTCTTCTCCAGGCTGAACAATCCCAATTCTTCCAGCCTTTCCTCCCAGCAGGAGGAAATGCTCTATCCCCCGACCATCTTGGTGTCTCTCCTCTGGACTCGCTCCAACAGGTGCACGTCCTTCCCGTGCTGGATCCCAGAGCTGGACGAAGTGATCCAGGTGGGATCTCAGTGGAGCAGAGGGGCAGGATCCGTTTTCTCCCTGTAACCAATTTCTCCCTGCTCATCCCAGAGCCCCTGCTGATCCTGTTACCTCTTTTGTGCTCACTGGCAGCTCGGAGGCGAGGCTCATCCAGAGTGCAGCAGCAGTGCTGTTCCCCAGGTCCCTGTAGCACTGGGAAGGGAAAAGAACAACAGGAAAAGGGTTAAACAGGGAAAAACAGGCAGCAAATGCAACTGGGCCACTGCTAAGAAGACCTATTTCTGCCTCTTAACCATTAGCACTGACATTCCCTGCAGTCTCCTTCATTCACAGAGCCTTAGAATCACACCAGATGGAATATTAAATATATTTAGCTTCCTCTATGGTTTTGTTTGTTTGTTTTGTGGGCAAGGAGACTGGGTTTTGGTTGGAGATCTTAAGGTGTTCCCGTGGTTTTCATCATTTCCAAAGCTCTGTTTTGATTTCCACTCACTATTTCCTCACTCCAGTTTCACCACAAAACCTCTCTACTGGGAAGGGAGCACATCGTTCTCCAGGCTGTTAAAAATGAGGCTCAGCTGCAAGCACTGTAATAATAAATCATATTTACAGGAGTTTCAGACTGTCAGACTAGATGCAAACTAGATGGGAGTCCCAGACATCCTCAAAGGCTTTGAAATCGCTGAATATCAGTAAAAATGTCTATAGAACACAATGAATTTTTATTGTGAAGCTTGAGCCATCAGAGCAGCATCTCCTTCCAAATAATTAGATCCTAAATGCCCCCTTTAAATGTTGTGATGAAGGATGTAACCCAAAGTGACAGAGCCCGGGATCGGGGAAAAAAATTACCCTAAACCAAGTGGTCCTATTCACCTCTAAGGTAATCTGTACACTTGCAGAGTGTTTCTGGAGCTCAGTCACACCTGCCAGGCACCATGAGCCCAATAAAAACCCATCAGCCCAGGCAGATCACACAAAAGGAACCCCAAATTTTAGTATCAACACTAAAAGTCTGTTCAGGTTAAGACTTCCACGGATTTATTGCTGCAACTAAAAAGAAATATTGTCATCTTATAAAATCTGGCTCCTGCATGGAGTATTTTCCACCTGCTCAGCACTTTACAGCCAAAGATGATTTTTAAAATAAATATTTCTTACCCTAGGATCTAAAGAAGCAAGAAGTGAGTGGTTACCTTGGCAATGTAAACTCTTCCTGCTTTGGAAAATCCTGGGCTCAGCTCCTCGACCTGCAGGAAGAGAGGGAAGGTGTGACAGGGACGAGCAGACATCAGGATATGCAAGGACACAGTTCATTCTTACACCAGGCTTATTGCAGCTCTTAAAGGAAAACAACAGAGGGAGGAAAGGAGAAAGGGAGGAAGGGAGGACTCCAAATAAATACATAAAAAGCACTGTGCTCCTGAAACCTTCAAGCACTTGTTTTGAAACATTTGAAACGGAGAAGTCAGCCAGGTTTTTAATAAAATAATGCCAGGGAAGTTAAAATGACAGGATGTATCTCTGCAAGTGTTCCCAGGGATGAGCTCAGACAGGTCTGGGACTCTGGAAGCACAGCCCGGATGTGATTAGTACTGAGCAATTAATCACTGTACAGCTTTTACAAGGAACACTTCGGGTCATAATTCTGATGTCCTCAACATCCCAGTCTTTTCTCTGGCTATTCTGGAATGCAGGCTCCACAATTTTGCCTTTCACCAGCTTTCCTTCCACAGGTTCCAGGAGATGGAGAAGCATCACGGAGCACTGGGGGAGGGCTGAGGTTAAGCAGGACACAAGCACCCCCTCTCTATGCCTGTGACCTGTGGAGGTCAGTGATCCATCCCCTTTCCTGGCAGATTCCCTCACCCGTAGGAAGTTCTGGAGCGCGTCCTGCACCGTGGCCGTCGGAGGAGCCTCGAACAGTGCTGACACCGTCTTCTTCTCCAGCCATCCCAGGTGGGCAACCTGCAGAGACAGGAAGGGCAACCTGTCCCACCCACTGGAGAGCCAGCCAGGACCTGCCCAGCCTCTTGGAGCTGCTCGTGCTCCTGGGAGGAGGCCAAAGACCTCGGCAGGTTCTGGATGAGTATCCAGGTCCTTACACCTGGTTTGCATCCACCTCTCTCTCATTCAGACATGGAATTCAGTTCCAAGGAGGAATTAGACAGCAATAAGCAGTAATAAAAGCATGTTACCTGGTAACACCACCTGCCCATGAGATAGTAGAGCTGGGGGTCCTCTGGCTTCAGCTCAATGGCTTTGTCAATGTGCTCCTGTGGGAAACCAGCACCAACACACATCACACCTTTGTTAAAAGCAAGTGAACATCCACGAGAGCAGGTGGAGAAAGAGGGAAGGCAGGAATCCACAGTTTAAGTGTTGTGATCAGTAGAATTACAGCTACAGATCCCCAGTTTTCTCAGAGTGGCTTCAGTGAGCACAGAAAAGCAGCACTTCACCAGGCTCAGGGACAGGGATTACTGCACACACACGAAAAGGAAGCTGCCCTTCAGTTTATTCCACCTCCAGAGCTCTGCCATAACCACCTTACTGGTCATGCCATGAGCTGATGGGACAATAATTACCTGTGGCCTGTTCCAGGTACATCCCCTTCCCCTGCAACATCCCCAAGGGAAATAAAGGAATGTGAAGCAAATTAAATCCTCTTGGAGTATTTGCTTTGCCCTTCTGGAAGGGTGCAGGTTGCTCACAGGCAGAGAGACAAGCTGGTGCTGTATCTTGCCACCACATGATAACTTCAGGTTCCAAGCTCTCAGTCTCATCATTTACACAAATTTTATTTGAAAGACTTCTTTTTTTTCCCATGAGATTATGGTGTGTAAAACTGCAGAGCCAGTCCAGTCACCCTCAAAAGACATTGCTGGAATCACCTTCCTCAACCCAAAACACCCACTCGTGGCATCTCTGAGACCTACTACTTCCCTAAACAAGACCTGGAGCCAATTTTCCCAAGTTCCTAGTACAGAAATAAGTGTTGTTACACAAACCCAGGATGTCCTTTCCACTCACCTTGAAAACACACCCGGCCTGGATGCGCTTGGGAATGCTCTCGCGTTCCGACAGCTGCCCACAAAGGATGGCAAACCTGCACAGGGAGACACCTGCATTAAATCCACATTTCATCCACATTTACCTGCTGTCCATGTCTTCAGAAGGAAGACATACAAGTGTTCAAAGCCAGATTGGACGGGGCTTGGAGCAACCTGGGATAGTGGAAGGTGTCCCTGCCCATGGAAGGAGGTGGGACTGGATGAGCTTTAGGGTCCCTTCCAACCCAAACCATCCCAGGATTCTCTGAAGTGCATTAAAGCTCCACACCTTGCTGGGGAACACAAGGAACACTGGAAATCTGTAAAAACTGCAATAAAAATTCCGTGCCTAAGAGGGTTTTAGCTTGAAGGACGAGGCAAATCAGCAGGAGGGGTTTGACGTGACACACAAACTCGCTGCACTGATGGCTGAAAACCAGGAGCAGCACACTTCCACAGCTGGAATTTCTTCCCTGAGCAAGGAAAGTGTGACAAGACAGAGCAGTGAAGAGTGATTGCAGCAAGAGTCAGACTACAAGCAGCTCTAATTCACTACAGGGAGCAGCGATCTCCACATGCAGCGGCCCCGCCGCAGCACACAGGGCTCTACTTCCAGGGAAATGTTGGGAAAACCTACCTATATCCTGCAGCTGGGAAAGAGAAGAACATGTTTTCAGTACTGAAAGTGCAAAGCCACCTAGTTTTGTCCAACAGGGCATTGTGAGTTGTGAGCCTGAGAAGCAGGGCCCCGGCAAAGTTAGTTACTGCATGAGCTGTGAAATTCAAGGAAGGTTAATTCCCTGTGGATTTGCACCCTCCCATCTCACCTCCCCACACCAGTGGTTCGAGCCCTCCCTCCCTGAATCATTTCCCAAGAAACAATCACTCTCAGAGCTCTCAAGGGCACTGCTGTGGGACAGCACATGCAGACTGAAGTTTGGTGTCTCTCGTCCCACTCGGGAGAGAGTTCTGGGAATGGAGGACACTTCCATCCCTTCTCTGAGTTTGGCTCAAAAAATATTAGGTGGAACAGATGGGCAAATGAATAACATGTCTAATTTTTTCAAAAAATAAAGCTGAGAAGAAGAAAGTTTCAAGTAAAGCTTCCTTTTACTACACCCATACCCCAGTGCTGCTGGATACTCTGCCATTGTTATCCCAAGGCATCCCTGGGGACAGTTAAACACAGCACATGTGCAGGAATCTGTCAGAAGACTTTTAAATCTCCAACTACACTTTCTCCAGTGTTATGAAACCCCAGGAATTCCCTCACACCTCACTGCTCCTGCCTGAGCTCCATTTCCAACATCTAAGTTACAACACAAAGTGGCATCTCCTGAATATTTACAGTTTTGCCTTAAATCCCATTCCTTTACTTCGTTAATTTTCTTGTGGGAAAGCTCTGGTTCAGTTCTGAAATTCTTATTTTTCATGGTAATGGCAAAGATTACCAGATCAATGTGTTATTGGATAAAAATCCTTTCCCCTGGTTGGAAAAGCTCACAGCTGCATTGCCCCACTCTGATGGAATAAGTGTTTTTAGGATCTTCTCCAGTTTGTTTCCCAACAAAACATCAGCCTGGACCAAAACATCCCCAACCACAACACAACTGGGGTTGAGAAATACAAGCCAATAAAGGGTTTATTTTCTACAGTCACGAGATCAAACATTCCTAGACAATAAATCCCCACAGTTGCCTCATGTCAAGAAATATAAATTCCAGGGGTTTTTTTTAACAGCCTGGTGGAATGTTGGTGAAAAAGACATAAAAGCAGCAGTAAATTGTAAATTTCAGTTGTGAAATAAGCTAAAAAATATATGGGATGAGATGCCTGAACTGGTTTTTTCACTGTATTTCCAGGAAAGATGATTTTTCCTAAACACCTTTGCCGGTCCCAGGTCCACTGGAGGTTTTCACACCCACAACTCTGCATTCCTGGGATTTTAGGCTCTGATTTCTGCTGTTCTCTCCTCTGCTTGTTTAGCTTGGCACAGTGGAGCTATTTATTCCAGCTCATTCCGTGGAATGCCTCGGGATGAGAGTCACCACAGACACTATGGAGGTGCAGGAGGGATGAGCAGCAGGACCAGGAGACCTGAAAAATTATGATTTAGGGGATTTTCATTCCCTGTGACCTCTGCAGCACTGCTCAGATCCATGTCTCAGCAGCCATCCAAAGCTTCTATTAGGATATCACTCGATTAATTATTAACCAGACTCCTCATTAAGCTCCTGACAGTGGGAAAGCTGCAGTTCCCACAAGAATCTCAGCTCAGGATTTCCCCATTTATTAGAAAATAAACCCTGTGGAAACAGATACCCCCAGCTGAGAGAGCCTGTTCTTCCAGCTTAAATCTCCAGGCTCAGGACTTTCAGGAAGTTCATTGGGATTCTGCACTCTGGCTGACTTCCCTGGAAGCAGGACTCTGCCCATGGAATACAGTCTCCAGCACCTTCCCTCCGTGGTTAGGATGCTCTGCCAACCCAGACACAGCTCTTAGCTCTTTCAACCATTTCAAAGACAAGTTTTCTCAATATTTTATGAGCATTCCCAGCTTTTCACCTTCCTGTGCACATAGCAGATGTACAGCAGTCCCTTCACTAGAGGGAAGGAGACACGGCATTAGCAGGCAGGTATTCACACTGCAACAACCAAAAATTAAAATAATCATTCATTTGGGAACTAGTACCTTGGGAGAGACAGCAGAATTCCCAACCTGAAATTAATGACCAGCTGATCATAAGGAGGTTGGGGGGGGAAAAAAAAGCTTTGGCTTTTCCAAGGGGAGACAAGATGGAAGGAAAAAGTGAGGAAGGCAGATGTGCTCCTTTCCTTCCTTCCCACAAACATCCACATGGGAGAGCTCCTGTGCTCTGGATGTTCAAGTTACTTCCTGAATTAACCTCCCAGGGCACACAGGTCAGGGGGATGCCACCAGGCAGCTCTAATTCTGTGCTATTTTTCTTCCTCTGCATTCTGAAATATCTCCTAACTATTCCTGCAGTTGCTGCTGCCCCATATTGTCAGTAAATTCCCTGTTTAATCTGCCTATGGAGCAGAAAACAGTTGGCTCATAAATCCAGAATCTGGCTCAAAATTGGCCAGGTCTGGGCAGTGAACCCACCAAGAGTTAAATCCTGAAGCACTGCCAGTTGTTAAATCAGAGCTGTCTCCCAGGCACATCCAGAACGCTGTGACTTTTCAAAAATCCAGGATCTGCCCACGGACAGCCAGATGTACCCACGGAACTGAGAAGGGCTGGTGATCAAGTGTGCAAGATGTTCCACCAAACTGACAGACTCTCCAGAAGAAAGGGCACATTTTGGAGGCTCATCCAACCCAATCCCACTTCTCCATAACACACAGGAATAATAATAAGCCAAGGAATAAGCCAAAGCTTATTATTCCTTCTGCAACAGTCAGCACTTCATTTCCAGTGTAAAATATTCCACTCAAACTAAAACAACACCCACACAGTTTTCCCCAGATTTCTCTGAAATCCCTCTGGTTGCACTTCCAATATTTCTTTTAGCAACAGGAATGAGAGGCAAGGCAAACCTAGAGCTCGCTCTCCTTTCCTGATCCCTAAAGATGCTACTGGACTGGAAATTCTAAAAGGCCACACTTGTTTCTCACTTCATTTGTGAGATGTCACATATTTGTGTCTAAGCAGCAAAGCACAGAGGTTTGTACAATCATATTTCTGTCATATTCCTTTGCATTTTGTATCTCTTCCACCCCTATAAGCAAGAACAGACTTAGGAATTTGCTCTGTCCTACTCATGGGCTGGAATCAGCTGAGGGAGAAATCAGTTTAGCTGGGCATAAATTCTACCTGCTCAGAGATCTTTTTACAATTAAAGCAGAGAATGATTTTGATGTCTAAATCCCAAGTGAGAATCAGGTCCTTGTAAATCAGGAGTGCAGAGGCTTTAGATCACTCGCCCCAATATCCCTCAGCCCTGGAAGCACAAATAAATCCACTCCAAAGGCACTGAGTGCATTTAATACCCAACACAGCTCCCACACTTCTGTTCCTCCTCACTGATTCCCCAGCAGGAATCCTTCCCTTTCCCAAAGTTATTTCCTTTGCTTGTTGCTTTAAAATGTCAGCAATTACTGCAACAACCATGAGGCATCAATGGGGAAAAGCTTTCCTTGCAATGATCCCCGAGTGGAAAGTACTTTCTCTCTTCCTCAGCCAATAAGGTTGGGAATGATTTGGGCAGAAGGAAATAACAAGCACAAAAGGCAAAAAAAAAAAATAAAAAGGACCAGAAACCAGCATGATTTCAACTGAAGGAATCCTGATAAAACAGAGGCAACTGGTAAAATAGAAAGTCAACAGGAAATAATGCACACACAGAGAGAGAAAAAATACAGACCAGACCTGCACAACGAGGCTTCACACAGCCTGTGTGGAGAGGCAGGAAAAGAATTGGGAACATTTCTACTAAAATGGCCATTTGGGATGTAGTGGGAAAGACAAGGGTGATGTTTGGGATGCTGTATATGGAAGTAAGGATGCAAGGGACCATCCCATCAGCATCACACAAATCCATCCTGCTCCCACGGATTGTGTCCTGCACTGGATTTCCCCCCACTTTTGTCTGGAAAAATATATGGAAGAGGGAGAATAATATGGGAAAGACAACGTGGGTAGTGAGAGATAATCAATTATTCCCTATGAGAAGAGATAATAACAGATTAGGGTTTTCACAACAGGAATCAGGCACTGGAGAGAGAAATATGACAGAATAAAACTGTAATTTAAAGCAAGTGTGAACAATGTTCTCCATAAACCAAGAGCTGGGGCACCAAATCCACCCCCAAAAAGCTTTAAAGACTCTACTGTTTTTTTCTCCTCCTCAGGATAAATTCAATTAGCATAAAAAAAGGCTGCAATTAAACCAGCTTGTGACCACCTCAGTGCTGGGAAGAGAGTAATTTCCTGTTCTATTCATGGCAGTAAATAATAATTTCTGTGCTGATAAAGGGAATTACATATTCATTCCCAAGAAATCCCACGCCTCCCACAGGCTGCTCTGCTGTTTCCTTTCTCCAGCTGCTCTGAAGAACTAAAAGCAAGATGTAGCTGTGCAGGAGCCTTATCCCTGTCTGGGAAAAGGGTTTGGGAGGCCTAGGACTGCCCCAAAATCTGAATTACAAAGCAAAACTACCAATATGGAACCCTGGAGTAGAACCTTGCTTTGTAAAATATCAACTTTAAGATCTACCCTGGCAACTAAAACCCATTTTTCCAAGGTGTTAAGCCAGCAGAGCCCAATACCATACTCTGCTGGAGATTTTCCTGCCCCAAAATTCATCCTTCCTATCATCCTTTAATTGAAAACAGCAATTCACTACTAACAACTGAAATACAGTCTTTTTAAGACAATAAAGGTATTTATTCAGATGCCAGTAGTCCAAAACAACCCTCCAAATAAATTTGCTCATTAGAAGAGCACAGATCTTGTTTGGTAAAGATACTCAGCATCTTGTTTTCCCAATAATTTCCATTAAAAAAAGTAATTTCCCTTTTATTCTAATTTACAGTGTTGTCAGACCTTCACAGTAACTGCTGACAAACACTGTTCATGGAGGAATTCACCAGAAAGGCACATTGCCTTACCTCTACAAATATCTGAACCACTCCACAAACTCTCTTTTGGAGTAATTTTAAAAAAGGAGAGCAATCCTTTCAATCTTATCCATGAGTTGGAAGTAAAGCCTTTAGGGAGTGAGCTCCTTCCCTGTCACCTCCCTCCTTACTGAAATCTGGGTATAATTATTACTTTTTTAACTGCAGCTCAGCTCCCAACAACCTCCAAGTTCTTTTCCTACACTTTTCATAAGCAAGAAGTGGAAAAAAAAAAAAAATCACATACCACTGGTGGCACTCAGCACTTTGATCCCACTTCTGTAAGGCAAGTTCCAGCTCTTTCTTCCCTGGAAAAAAAACATAGCCAGAGGTAAGAAATTCAGCTGCTTTCTCTCCTGACTTCTTTCTTTGCGGCTGCTAGAGTACAATAATATATGCATATATATATATATATAGGTATAAAAATAATATCTTTGTTAATTTTATACCACGTGTGGCTTGAAAATGCCCTGTAAATAATTTCATCCTTTTGCAGACTCAAAAAGCTGCAAACTAAGCATTTACTGCAGACTAAGAGGACCATATAAAACTTAAAATTCCATGTTTAAATGGCTACACTGATTCCCAGAAAAGAATAATTATATTAGCTATAGTACTCATTTATTCAGTTACATGTGTAACAAACGGGGCAGAAGTTACTTAGATTAGTACCTTTTGCTGCACATCTTAACCTTAATAAAGATGATTTCTGTTCTACTGTGACTCACCTAAAACCTTGTGAACACATCTGAGGTGGCAAAGAACGAGGGAACGAAATTAAAGTGACTCTTCTAAGTAAACACCTGTCTAAAAATACATTTCTTTTTTTTTTTTGTATCTGCATGTGCTGGCAACACAAAAAAAAAAAATCAAATGTGTTGCAGCCAAGGCTTTTATTTTTTTTCCTGTTGTTTATTTTTGTTTAATTTTTGTTTATTTTTTGTTTATGTTTTATTTAT